GCCTCCCCCCTGATCACTACACTGTATCCGTGCCCATGAGCTCTCTCTCTCTCTCTCTTTTTTTCCTCAGTCCTTCCACCCCTGAAACACTCCCCCACACACTCCAAGTTGTCTTCCTGCTCTCTGGGCCAGATAATTTTTTGTTGTGGGAGGCTGTCTTATGCATTATAAGATGTTTAGCAGCAGATATCACCTCTACTCACTCTAGATGTCAGTAACATTCCCCCCTCAAGTTGTGACAATGAAAAATGTCTCCAGACATTGCCAAAGGCCGTGGAGTGGGGCTGGGTGGGGTGGGGGTGGTAAAATTTCCTCTAGTTGAAAACCACTGCTCATAGTAACATTTTTCCTTATATTTCTAATTTTAAAGTACACTATCAGTTGTTATTTTCAACTCAGGAATGTTTATAAGGACATAATTTATACTTGTACATTTTTAAAATCAACTTAAAATTGTCAGAAACTTAGATCTCAAATAAATGAGAAATCTTATAACTGATTGGAATGCTATAATTTGTGAGAGTGTGTATTTTGGTAATACCAACTCCATTCTTGAATCTTGGATTATTGTAGTATTTATTAAAAACATATCTAGATGTCTTTTAGTAGCTTTTATTTGTATTCTTAAACTTAAAAAATTAAGAGATGGAAAGATGGTATTAATAACTTAATTTCATTTACTGTAGCAGTGATATTTTGTAGAACCATGGTTAAAATTTCTTTAGTGTTTGTAAAAGATAACCATTTAGTGATTCATCATATTTTATTTTTCTTAATAATATGGTCACAATAAGAATTTCAGTAGGTTTCTCATAGCTGTTAGTGGTTAAAGAAAAGTAAAAGGTGACTTATTAAAGGTTTTTATAAGAATTATAAAGTACATGCAAGTGGAAACTAAGAGAGAGCACAGGTAGCTATACTTATATCAGACAAAATAGACTTGAAGCCAAAAACTGTAACTACACAAAGAATGTCATTATATGATGGTAAGGGTCAACTCATCAAGAAGATATAATAGCCATAAGTATATATGTGCACCCAAAATGGAGCCTGAACTACATATTAAGCAAATACTAACAGATTTGAAGCCAGAAGTAGATAACAGTGCAATAATAGTAAGGGACTTCAGTACCTCACTTTTATCAGTGGATAGATCATCCAGACAGAAAATCAGCAAGGAAACATTGGACTTGAACAGTACTTTCGACCAAATTTGTATAACATATATATAGTACATTTCATCTATCAGCAGCAGAAGACACACTTTCTCAGTTGTAAGTAGAACATTTTTCAGAATAGACTATATGATAGGTCACATAAGAAGGCAAATTGAAGAGGACTGAATTCATACCATGTATCTTTTCCAGTGATATGAAACTAGAAATCAATAACAGGAAGAAAAATGGAAAATTCACTGATATGTGGAAATTAAACAGCACCCCCAGAACAACAAGTGGGTAAAAGAAGAAATCGAGAGGAAAAAATTTTCTCACACAAATGAAAAGGAAAACAGAGCACACTAAAACCTATGGAATGCCAAAAAGCAATTTTAAGAGGGGAGTTTATAGTGATAAATGCTTGCAATAAGAAAAAAGATGTCAAATAAGCAACCTAACTTACTCCTCAGGGAACTAGAAAAAGAAACTCTGCCCGAATTTAGCAGAAGGAAGGAAGTAGCAAAGATCAGAGTGGAAATAAATGATATGGAGACTGAAAACAATAGCAAGAAATCAACAAAACTAAGAGCCGGTTGTTTTAAAAGATAAAATTGACAAACTTTTAGATAGACTAAGGGGAAGAAAAGAAAAGACTCAAAATGAGAAATTAAACAGGAGACCTGAAAACTGATACCACAGAAAGACAAAGGATCAGAGAGAGTACATGAACAATTATATATCAACAAATTGGATAATGTAGAAGAAATGGATAAATTCTTAGAAACATGCAACCTACCAAGAATGAATCAGGAAGCAATAGAAAATCTGAATACTTAATGAGTAAGGAGATGGCATCAGTAATCAAAAACCTCTCAACAAAGAAAAGTTCAGGACCAGTTGAATTCACTGGCGAATTCTACCAAACTTCAAAGAATTAATACCAATCTTTCTCAGTCTCTTCCGAAAAGTCGAAGAGGAGGGAACACTCTCAGACTCATAAGGCCAGCATTGCCCTGATACCAAAGCCAGATAAGGACACTGCAGGAAAATAAAACTATAGACGAAATATTCCTGATGAATATAGATGCACAAATTCTCAAGAAAATATTAGCAATTCAAATTTAACAGCACTTTAGAAGGATTATTTACTGTGATCAAGTGTGATTTATCCAAGGGATGCAAGGATGGTTCAACATTTGCAAATCAGTAAATGTGATACACTGCATTAATAGAATGAAAGATTAAAACCCACATGATCATCTCAATTAATGTAGAAAAAGCATTTGACAAAATACATCCTTTCATGAATAAAACTCTTTAACAAATTTGGTTTAGAAGGAACATACCTCAACTTAATAAAGACTGTATATGACAAGTCCACAGCCAACCTCATACAGACAGGAGTGCCCACTGTCACCACTCTGGTTTAACATAGCACTGGGAAGTCCTAACTAGGAAGAAAGGGAATTAAAAGGCATTCAAATCAGGGAGGAAGAAGTAAAATTTTATTTGTTTGCAGACGATATGATGTTATTTGTATAAAATCCTAAGATTCCACAAAAAAGTCGTTAGAACTTATTAATAAATTCAGTAAAATTGCAGGACATATAATTAACACACAGAATTTATTTGTGTTTCTATGTACTAACAAATATCTGAAAAAGAAATATATAAAATAATCCAATTCACACTTGCATAGAACAGTAAAATATTGAGGAATAAATTTAACCAAGGAGTGAATGCATTACTGTAGTTTGCATTACTGCTGATGGCCTTGTGTGGTATGGCTGGAGTTTATTATGGTGAGTGGTGTGGGCCAAAGCATATAACACACTTAGGCCATTTGTGTTATATGGAAAAGGGTGAAACATTGATTGGAAAACTTAATTGTTTTTTAGAAACAAAATACTTTTTTTTAATCCCTTAGGGAAGTGAAATCATATTATGGCAAATACCAAAGTGGAAACCATTTGGAAAGAATAAAAGAAGAGATAGTTATAGAGGCTCCCAAATTGATTAATTCTTGTGAATACAAATATTAGCCAGAGTCTGAGAATTGCTTCTCTAATGCCGAGCTGAATAATCTGTGTTGTTGGTTAGACAGTATCCTTGGATTTGTAGATATGTGCCAAGCTCTGTACATAAGCCTATATCCTGAGAGAGATTTGATGGAACATTTTCAATCTGTAACTTAAAAAATATCTTTCATAGTTAAGATCACAGTTTTCCCCTGAGGATAGACTCTGATTGCAAGTGACAATGAAATTTCTATTGAATATATTTGTGAAACATTGCATTCTTAATTAGCAAAGTGGTTGCTACATCAAGTGATCTATTAAGTTGTTGATAGAGTATTGCTGTGCTGAAATCTGACTGCTGTTTTTGTATAGATGAGATGTTAATCACAGATTACTTTTTCTAATAGAAAATCTTTTCTCTTTTACAGGGAATCTTCCCTGCAAATTACATTCACCTGAAAAAGGCAATTGTTAGTAATAGAGGGTAAGTGGTTGGCCTTCCTAATTTATTTACAGTTTTTGTTGGTTGCAGAGGAGGGCTTTTTTTGTTTTTTGCTCATTGTATAAATATGCTTTTGACATGTTTTCCTGCCAAAAATATACTTGCTTCATTCATCATATATAATTCTGAGGACATCATTTTTTGTTAAAATACTGACAACTTTAATTTGATTTCCTGTATCCTGGAAAGGTAACCTGAGATATGAATTTTATGAAAACAATTATGCATGCAGTATTTTTTAAAAGTGATGTACTGTTTTGAGAATAGTCCTTGATAGGATAGGAATTAGTGATAAATCTGACATTTTGTTTATATATGTCAAAGTGAGGGAGATTTTAAAATCTTTTCTTTTGCTGGTAGAAATTGGAAAAAATATTAAAGGCATACCTTACGGATAAAAAGATAGTGTATAAAATGGATACATAATTTGATCACAGATTTGAGACAAAAGCAATCTCTGAGTAGAGGAGAGACAAGAGGTAAATACATAGAAATGTTAACATTTGTTTTTGCACTGTCTGATTGTGAGTGATTTAAAAAAAAATTTCTTTAATGTCATGTTCTATTTTTAAAAGTAATATGTATTATAAAATTATTTTATTTTTCAAAATTCACCACTTGAAAATATAAAATTTAAGGTACTATATAACTATGATAGCCTTTGGTACTAGAAATAGTGTTTTTGACCTGAGGTTGAGTGACCATCAGAGTAACCTTCTGGTAAGTAAGGGTTTAGTCAGGAAAAGAGAAACTTAGGAGTCACTTTACAAGGTACAATTTAAAATAGGGAATTATTTACACACAAATATGAACAGTGAAAGAAAAAAAGAAAAAATACTGATAAAACCCAGAATAATAACTGCAGAAAGCTGTCTACACTCTAATGGTTGGAGGATATAAAAGATAATAGGTTGGGGATACCAGAACCCAGAAACTTGGAAGATGGATCTTAAGAGACACTGGAGCTCAAACATCTGAAGAGGTGACATCACATGACTGCCACTGGTATAGATGAAGAAGAGCAATGAGGCTGTTTCTTTCTCTCCCCCTCTGTCTAAAAATCAATAAAAAAACATATCCTTGGGTGAGGATTAAAATATTAATATAAGCAAGACTTGGGCAGTACTGTTGTCTTTCTTTAAAGAAAAAAAAGCTTAAAATGGTATTTTTAAAAGTCTGTCTTAAATACAATATGTATTTCTAAAAAGTAAAACTGAGTGTGTCTATGTGTACAGCGAAACCCAAATGTTTTTACGTTAATTCAGTTCAGTTACACTATTGCAGGATATTACTGCAGAGGATCTGCAATCAATTAGGTGTGCCTCTTTTTATATTTGCATGAATTTAAAATTTGAGTTATACTTGTTGAAAAGGGCAGTAGACAGCATTCTGGTAATTTATCAAAGATAATGTGGCCGTTTGTTGTGGTTCTAGGCAATATGAAACTGTGGTTCCACTCGAAGATTCTATTGTGACTGAGGTTACAGCAACTCTACAAGAATGGGCCAGTCTGTGGAAACAACTCTATGTGGTAAGTAGTTGATAATTAGTTTATTATATCATTAAAGTTTCACTGTCCCAAGTGAAAAAATTACTTTGCCTATGCCAATTGCAAAATTTTTAGATTTCTGAATGTTTGCAGTTTTTCAAATGTATGTTCTTAATATTAACTGAAACACAGTAAGCTCAGGTTTGATCAACCTGAAGAGAACACATTACTCATATGCCTGCAGTCTCTCCACCCTGTCTTAGTCAGTAAAATGTAAGGTCCGTAACACCACGGATTTTGGCTATTTTACTCATTGTTGGACCCCCAGAAGCTTCCATATAGCAGGTATTTTCTGAATAAATGAACAGACTTGAGAGTTACATTGTGAACCTAATGGTAGGTAAAGGCCAAGAAGTTGTATCAACAGTTTCTTACAGCTGCTAAATGTAAAAAATGTGTCATATATATGACATTCTCTGTTAGGCCAACAATTAATAAAAAGATTAATAAAAACCCAGTCTATATCCTCTGGAAACTTGGACAGTGATAGGACACACAAAATTTAGACCAAAAATAAGTGACAGGGTTTGGATTCTGAACAAGATGGAGTAAACCCATTTGATTTTACTCCTAATAATCACAGATTTTTGGTTAATAACAATTTTAAATTGAATAAATAGTTGTATGTTATCATAGGAATGGCGTATACTGTATTGGACATACACTGTTAATTTTACTATTAAAAACTCTTAGTGAACATTTTTGTATACTAATTTTCAACTTTATTGTTAGTTGTTTTTTAAAGTAATTTGAAGAGGAAATTTTGCTCTTCAACAATATTTTTTCATTTATGCTCTTATCAAGTATATCAGAAGAGTCATATTTTCCCCCACAGCCTCATTAATATTAAATATTAATTTTTTTGTTTTCCATTTAATAGATGAAAAAGGTCTGGGTGGTTTTTACCAAGGGCGTCATAGAGCTATTTACTTGGTTCTGATTGTACAGGTTATCACATTCATGGGCTTTGAAACTGGTGTACATTGTGTTACCCATTTAAAATGACAATTCTGCCTATAGCAGTTCAACAAGTATGTGTTAAGCACCTACTATGATGTGCCAGGCATGCTGGGCACCAGAACATATAGAAATAATTAAAAGAGGAATTGAACTCAGAGACCTCTGTCCTAAGGTCAACAGTTTTTCCCAAGTATGAACATGTTTTTAGAGACACTGAAATGGAATATTTTAACTTCATTTAATAAACCAAAGATGTATTGTTCCCATAATGTCCCCATGTGGCCCTCCCCAGTATGTTTTGGCCAGTATTTATTTAAATAACTTTTTTAATCCTATGCAAGTGTAGCATCTTTTTTGTTTTCCTGTGCAGTCTGTCTAGTGCTTACCTTTATAAAATATCTACTGTATATGCTCCATCCCCAAATATTTGGAGTCTGAGCCCATGATTCACTACTTTCTAATAATATACTTATTGAATAGCCTGTGTCTGATTCAGTCTGTCCTGTTCAACCAACATTTACTGAGAACCTATCATATACCCAGATCCTCCCTGTTAGGACCTGGAAATAGAAAGGCAATGGCCTGTGATCTTTACTCTGGAGAGTTTAAAGAGTGGTGGAATAGATAGATGAATAAACTGATTAAGAAAAAACTATGCAAATTAAAAGCTATGTCCACACAAAAACCTGCACAGGATGCTTATAGCAGCTTTATTCATAATTGTCATAACTTGAAAGCAACCCAGATGTCCTTTAGTAGGTGATGGATTAATAAACTGGTACCTCCAGGTAGTGGAATATTATTCAGCATTAAAAATAAAATGAGCCTATCAAGCCATGAAAAGACATGGAAGAACCTTAAGTACATATTACTGAATGAAAGAACCAACCTGAAAAGACTATATATATTGAGTGATTTCAATTATATGATAGCCGGGAAAAGGTAAAACTATAGAGACAGAAAAGAAATCAGTGGTTGTCAGGGGTTATGAGGGAGGGAGAGATGAACAGGCAGAGAACAGAGGATTTTAGAGCAGTGAAGTAAGTCTGTATGCTGCTATAATGGTGGATATGTGTTGTTATACATCTGCTTAAACCCATAGAATGTGCACCAGGATTGAACCTTGATGTAACTGTGGACTTTGGATGATGAAAATGGGTAAATGTAGATTCACCACTTGTAACAGATGCGCCACTCTGGTTGGAGATTGGGTAATGGGGGAGGCTCTGCATCTGTGGGGATAGGGAGTATATGTGAAATCTCTCTACTTTCTTAATTTGCTGAGAACCTCAAACTATTATTTTAAAAATATTTATTAAAAATTATGCAAGTATGGAATTACAGTCTAAAATAAGATATATGATGTTCATTTATTCCTCCTCATCGTACCCCTTTAATCATGTTTGTCTGAGTGTGTCTGTGACACGTGTCTCCAAGAAGGACAAATTCTATATTCAACTGTGAAGATGAGGTTGGCTGCTATAAATGTCATGTCTGATATACCAATGTAACAAATTTATCCCACCCTACACTCTATCCCCAACCAGTCACACAATGACATGATTTTTGTATAGTCTTTCTTAGGCTGGTTCTTATTCTTACTAGAGTATTTTTTGAGATTTCAAAAAAAACCTATTACAGCTTACATTGCCTCTTCGAATGTTTTGAATAATCATGTTCTTTTGGATTTTCTCTCTTGATATATACTAGGTGTATTCTTTCTGTCTTACATCTGGCATGCTTTATATTTTAATTTATTTGTTGATTTTAGAGAGAGAGAGAAACATCGATTTGTTGTTTCACTTACTTATGCACTCATTGGTTGATTCTTTTATGTGCCCTGACCAGGAATCGGACCCGTGACCTTGACATATTGGGAATATGCTCTAGCTAACTGAGCTACCTGGCCAGGGTTGGTGTGTCTTATATTTTAAAAGAGTGGCATTAAAATATTGGAGAGGCAGATTAAATTACATAGCCTAAAAACTAGGTACATTTATATAGAACTCTGTTGCCTATGTTGTCAGACTAAGCTCAGGCTTCTGTATGAGAAAGGGTGTTACAAAAGGATTCTAAAGTTGTTCAAGCATAGTATCATTTATAGGAGCAGCATGCTGCTGTGATCATAAGTTGCTGCAGTCTAGAAACGCATCGCCTAGCAACCACATACTAACTCTGTCCATTCTCCAGGCAACATTCTCCTATCTCCAGTCCGTTCTGTGTGTTTTGGTGTTTCATCTTTTTCAGCCATAGACATTTTAATGTTTCAGCAAAGATTGCTTCTTATCTTTGTGATTACCTCTCATAAGGACCACATAATGTGTGTTCTTAGTTACTTTTGTTTCTTCACAGTCTCTTTTTCACAATACTGATTTTCTGCTGTTGAACACACATTGGTGGGATTAATACAGGTGTCCCAAAAAAATGTATACACACTTCAACAGCTAATAGCTCAATTGATCTTTTCAGATTTAACCCATTGGAATTAATAATTATTCAAAGTGCATATACATTTTTCGGGGGACACCTGCATATTGAACTGTAATAGGTGTTTCTTTATACACTGATTAATATTTACAATAGAAGAATATATGCACCACTATGTTCACAGCAGTACTATTTACAATAGCAAAGATCTGGAAACAGCCCAAGTGCCCATCAGTAGATGAGTGGATAAAAAAGCAGTGTTAACATTTACACCATGGAATACTATGCAGTTGTAAAAAAAAAAAAAAGCGGGGGGAAGTCTCTTTTTGAGACAGCATGGAGGGACCCTGAGAGTATTATGCTAAGTGAAATAAGCCAGAGAAAGGCAGATATCACATGATCTCACTTATATGTGGAATCTAACGAACAGAATAAACTGACAGACAAAATAGATCCAGAGACATCAAAGCATGCAACAGATTGATGAATTTCAGAGGGAAGGAAGTTGGTGGGCAGAGATTAACCAAAGAACTTATATGCATATATGCATAACCCATGGGCACAGACAATAATGTGGTGAAGGCCTGGGGAGGGGGCAGGAGCGGGGTAGAGTGTGTTAATGGAGGGAGAAAAGAGGACATCTGTAATACTTTCAACAATAAAAGTAAAATTTTTTAAAAAGGCAGAAATTCTATTCATAAAAATAATATAGTCTAGAAATTTATCATCCTTGATAAATTTAGTTTAGTGTATTAATAAAGGTTGATAGTTATATTTTAAAATTACCATGTATTGAATATTTACCTGATTTAATTTAGTCATTACAGAAGTCTATCAGGAGGTAAATAATTATTCTATTTTATGTATATAACCTGGTGCATCAATTTATTTAGCCATTTATTCTCTCATTAAGTATTGTTGAACCCCGTTTGCAAGACCATATGCAGAATAGTGAGACCACGTATAATGTCCATTAACAGTAGTAGTTAGTTTTGGATATCAGTGCCATTATGTGTTTATAAGCAATTTATTTTAATACTGCTAAAGATACCAGAAATGTGAAGGGCAACCAAAATTTCTCATATACAGTTAATGGAAGGCAGTTTTGTTTAAGTCAGGATTCAGAAGTGGGTGTGTAAAAATATCAGCCTGAAACTTAGTTTAAACATTGCTTACTGCAAATCAGTAGCCATCCAAATATGAACAGTTAAAAAAAGGGATTTACTGTAGCTTTTAATATCTTCTTCACTTGGAGGTATTGACAATTTCTTCTTCTTTTTTTATCCTTGAGAGAGCTCTGTGTTTTCTGGCCTTTGGGGGTGATATTGTGCCTTTTCTTCTCTGAAATGGGTAGGCTTCAGTGGATACTATCAGTGGGTAGTAAACCAGGAGTTCACCCTGAACTCTCAGGTAGCTGACTGGCCAATGTATACTGGGAGAGGAGATGGGCTTATTAATACCCTAAACTAAATTTTGAAGTTCCTGGGAGAGTTTTGGACAGAACCAGAAGCAGCACCAAATAGCAGCTGTTGATACTTGTCTAGGTTCTAATAGTAAGATCTTATGCAGACATTTTATTGAAAAGGAAGTACAAA